GTGTGTGTGTTCTTATTCTACCAATGGGTGTAGTCTTCATCTCCTATGTTGTGATCATCTCCACTATTCTTAAGATTGCTTCAGCTGATGGTCGGAAGAAGGCCTTTGCCACATGTGCCTCTCACCTCACGGTGGTCATCATCCATTATGGCTGCACTGCAATTATCTACATGAAACCTAAGTCACAGAACTTGCTGGGGCAGGAAAGGCTCATCTCAGTGATCTACACTCTTATCACTCCTCTACTGAATCCTTTGGTATACAGTCTTCGGAATAAGGAGGTCAAAGATGCCCTACGTAGAGCCATGTGGCAGAAGCCACTTTCATCTTAATCAGGTTCATTTGTGAATTTAATTTCTTTCAGTTGGTGAATATGCAATTATTGTAAATTGTTTCTGATAATGCTTTATCTTATGGCATCAGCAAAACTATAATACGTTGATGGTTGATAACCCAGAGGCTTTCCTCTATGCCATCAGAATTCTCTGTGCTATGTTCTGGAGAAAGAGATAATCTTTTTTATATACTTAAAGTAGAAAGATATTTTATAACCATAAGTTATGTATAATCAGAGGCTTGGTAGGCTTCTTTTTATTTACATTTCAAATGTTGTCCCCCTTCCAAGTATCCCCTCCACAAATACCCCATCCCATCCCACCTCTCCTTTGTTTCTAAGCTTTTGTCAAACTATGAATGTCATGGTCAACTAATACTTTTTCATTTCCCCACCCACCTCCTTCAAGCCTAGACTTGCTTAATATAAGAGACAAACTGCTTTGCGTATAGAATTGTTCACATGTGCATATGGCTGCACTCTACATGAGTTTCTGTCATGTGTCACACAGTCACCTTTAAACCAATGATAGACTTCATATATACTGGCAGAAAACATACAGCTCATTGTGTACTATGAGCTGGTACAATGTGTGATATGTAGCTACACTCTATTGTATTGGTTCAATTACAAAATTGTTTGCAAACATATTTTTTTTCAGAACAGATCCTCATTGGCAGTCATACAAGACTGTATTGATTTAAGTTTATTAAAACACTAAATCCTTAAAGTTTCTAAATCTGATAAATAACAGTTTTGGAATCAAACCCAGAAAGACCTGTTTGCTGTGGTTAGTTAGTACAGAAACACACATCCTTATGTCACACTTTTTATTGTTTTCTGTTTTCACAAATATCATGTTAATTTGTCTGATATCTTGAGGATTTTTCAAGAGAGGTAAAGTATGTCTTTAAATTGGTGGAATTGCAGATGTAAGAAAGCAAAAATGCATCAGCTAAAGAGAACACAGGTGTGGCCTCTCCACAATCCGTTTCCACACACTTAAGACTCAGACTGAGAATGGGGACATACGGACAAAGCGAGCTTTATTCATCCTTTCAAGGCGGCAATAATGAGGGTGGAGCTGGAAGGAACCTGTAGATACCACAGTGACTGGAACATCAGTTCTTCTGTTTGACAGGAGTGGAGGACAGCATTTTGGACACAAACACTAGAATGTGAAATCTGCATGGGGAAGGACTGTAGAGAGCTATCTGTACAGATTTCCAGAACAGTAGAGCCAGGTACTTTCTGTGGAGTTGATTATAGGACAATTATTGGCAATTCTGGTAACTCTGGGTTTAAGTAAAGGTATGAAGAAAAGGCACTCATGAATTCCCCAGGCAACTGAGAACCCTGGAGTGAGGCTCTCAGAGAGTCCCCTTCAGGAAGCATCCTTGCTAAGGAACTGCATCTTTGTGCTTTTAACGTGTTCTGGGGGCATGCTGCCTCCAGTGGGTTGTCTAATCCGTGGTGTCTCCTCTCTATGGTGATTATGAAGAGCTATCCCAGGTCTAGAGCTGTCGTGTGACATGGTTTAGGGTTTCTGCTGTGACTGTTTCACATTTCAGCTTGTGTCTTCCAAACCTGCTTCTTTCACTCCGGCAAATGTGTAGATTCTGCGTTCAAGCCTCTGTCCTGGAGTCTTTTTCCTAGGATCAGCAATCTTCCAGCAGCATTTTAGAATTCTGTGTCTGGGACAGTCGGCATTTGTGGAAACACAAATTTTAGCCTTAACTTATTCTAGCACAGTTAGATGAGATGTTTTCTTTTTATTTTAAAATATATTTTTGTTACAAGTACCAAGTTATATCTACCATGACACAATTTACCTGATGATTATCTTATATGATCTTGAAAATTGGTTAAGAAATAAATATCCAAATTTTTTCTGTCTGAATTTTCTGAAATTTCACAGTTTTTGCCCCCTGCCCTCACAATATTATAGAGAGATTTTGTCCACTGTATGTGCAGTATTGAACATCCACAAAATGTACAGTACACCTATGCCTTTCAATATTGAAAGTGAAAGATTGTGAGTGTCACAGGTTGTATGTGCAGGCTAACTTGATAGTGATTCTGAACACACTAGTAGAGCCCAGCGTTCAGTGGGAATGCTGTAGCAACTGATGGAGCAAAAGATGGGGGCAGAGACCTGATAAGTAACTGACTGGACCTGGGCAGGTGATATATGGCTGGGAAGACAAACTTTGAGGTCATCCATAGGCCTGAGCTGCTCTGGCACTTCTGACCTCCACAGGAGGAAAATGCATCTCCAGATTTAGAGAGGTACTCCTGTGTTCATTTCCCGTCTGATGAGAAGTACACCTCAGCCTCTAAGGATTTAGTTTCTTGACAGTCTCCTGGTACATCTTTTGTTGGCATCTGTTTCTGGGAGTATCTATGGAATTTATCTTCTATGGGTCACAAGCTGAGAGATGCTGAATCTATTTTCCTATTCCCTAAGTATCAGGAACTTTTAAAGATTTGTGATTATCTATTTTGAGGGAGCAAATGTTGTTTTATGCTCTGTCTGGGACCTACTTAGTACAGATCAGAGGTGACTGAAGAGGCCACAGGTAAATCAAGAAAGAAAATTTTTTGACTAACCTGTATAACATACACAGATTGAAATACTTCATATTCATATATATGAGACACTATTAAAAGAAATATAATGTATAATTTGGGGGTCAGTAACTATTTGAATATTAACTTCATTTTCAATGTTACTTCTGGAATAGTATGGGAATGACCATAAAAGCTAACGAAATAAAACAGAAATGGCAGGCAAGATCTGAAATTAATTAGAAGTTATATATGGCAATCAGCATACGAAAGTGGTGACATATCTGGTTGCCCAGTGGTGGAGCCTGAGAAGAAATCCACCCTTGCATTGAGTGGCAAAGGCTTCTGAGAGTCTGCCCTTGATGATCAGTCCATGGAAAATGAATAACAAAGTGTGAGATTAAGGGGACTCTAGAACCCACCTTGTCCAGTCCCCTCTCATATAGGAACAAACAGAATCTCAAAGACTTACAAGTGGCATGGTACTGTCCCGTACCCAGTGAGAAGCAGCTTGGACTCCCATCCTGCTCCTCTGTTCTATCTGTGGCCCTCCCAAAGTTGACTGGGGAAGGAGGGAAGCAAATGTGAACAGCAATGTTCAGGATTCTAGATTTTTCCTTCAGATGTTTCTCAAGTTGATCATGCCTGGAATTTCTTACCACTTCAAGCACCTCTCATTTCCTAACTCTGAGGATTTGGCAAAAACACCAAATCTGAGATAAAGGAGGAAATTCCTTTCTACTTCAGTATCAGAGACACTGACACTGTAGGGGATTCTCTGGAACAATATATCTCAATTGTGTGTGGAGGCAGCATTGTGGTCTGAAGGCTTTATCTTGCAATAAATCTTGGGCAGGTAGCAGAGAAAGTTTCCCATAAAAGCATCCAAGAGTTTCCTGTGAAGACTTTCCTCTGCCTGTGTTTCAGTAGGAATTTCTTCTGCATTCACCATACCTACTTACAACAAACAAACAAACAAACAAACAAGCAAACAAGCAAACACCATGTACTAAGAATGCAGTCATTCCTTACTCTGAAGTGATGAAAATATTGGGGAGAAAGATACAAAAAAGAATCACATTATATACCATTATACCCATCTTTAAAAATCTGAAATAATTACTATGTATACCCTACTAACATTTCTTGGCAAATGAAGATCTGTCTAGTCAATGTTTGCAAATTACCCTCATACATTTCCCCACACTGTTAGTAAGTGCAGAGCCTGGGAAAACTTGAGGCCCTCTGTTCTTACATGTTGGTTGTCATAAGCTAGTGTTCAGCACTGACAGCATGCCCCTGTCCCTTAGATGTTTCCTTAAGCCCCAACTCATTGTCTACATGGGCATGGAGCAGGAGCTGAGCTAGACACAATGCATAGGCTCATTCCTATTTTAGAAATGAAACACTTGTCTTATACATATATAGGCTGATTTCACAAATCACAAGCCCAGAAAGTAAAAGAATCAAGATTGGTATCTATGTCTCATACTATGTGGTTTAGTCATAAAAATGGATACACTTGCTGGGAAGAAACCCAATCCCATTCATATTGTGAGATAGACCATTGGCCTTCAGCAAATACTTTGGTAACAAAATGAAAGACATAAAATACAAACATATAAACCTATTTCTTTTACCCAAGAACTTATTTGGTCTTAGTCTATAAACAGTGCTTATCATTTCCAGGATTACTCAAAAGCTGCTTGCTCTGTCAGTCTATGGAGATATGATACAAGTTTCATCTATTAAACTGGTGGGGCAGAATTGATCACATATGAATCCTGGTCTTCTGAGCCACCTAATTTTTCTTGATAATCAAAAGCCAATAGAAGGCAGAATGCAAACTGGCCAACCTCACCAGTATCCTACCTACCATGTCTTCTGTGCCACCTACTGTTTATAATGATAAAAAAGAGAGATGATGTACTTAGACCCTCATGGTCATTCTTCTAGAAGAAAACAAACAAATTAATATGACCATAATCTCTAAACGTACCATTCTACATGATTCCATGTTTACTTTATTCAAATTGTGCTTCTCTTTTTACAAATTTAGATAAAACAGTCAGCTAATTTTTTAACCAAGGAAGCAGTGTTCATTGAGTATTTGCTATTTATTGCATGTTGCGTTACCAGCTGCAGTTGTTTAATGAAGCATTTGTGAAATTCCTGTGGAACAGACTTTTCTATGGATAACATGAGTACCCTTTGACAGTTGAAAAGCTATTGAGGATACTGTGGAAAATTACTGTTAAGAATTGTCTCTTCAGAAATCACATAAGTTTTTTTATGTACCTAGGTTAGGAGTTAGGTTTCAACTTTGTTGCCTTTTCCAGTCTTCTGAATCTTCAGGACTGATATGAACTGTTCTTGTGTTGAGAACAATAACCCCGTGTCCACAGCAAACAGAATCACCACCAACAATGGGAAAATTAGTTGTAGCCAACAATACTTGCTTTTGTAAGCTAGAATGGAATGTAAATACAATAAGTATACAATTCACATTAGAAAATGAAAAATGGGACTCAGAGCCATCTTCTTTAAGAAGAACACAAGCATACTTGTTCATCATTAGTATAATGGAGTATCCAGTAAGAGAGAGAGAATATTCAAGATCCCGAGTTCCACAGTCTGTGCTCTCTAGAGCACTGTGGAAGTATAAATGTTTCTCAATAAACCCTGTCTACCCATTCTTCTAGAGAGTGAAAGTCAGGAAACAGGATGCTATTATCTGATGACTTGGTTGTAAGGACACAACCTGGAGCCAGAGATAATTAAACATCAGAGCATAATTCTATGTTTGACCATCTTGCTTTTTTATAGATAATTATGAACATGCCAAAATAAAACAAAATTTCTTCCTTCAACAGCAAGCAAACATTTCAAACTTCCCCTCTTACATGACATTATGTAAAAGCAGCTTTTCTTATGAACCATAGAGCCAAGCCACCTGTCTTTCCTCAGCAGGCACACTGTCATCCTTCTGGATCTGCACACATAGTTCTGTGAGGATCTGATTTCCTTCCCTACCATCGATAGTTAATATGGACTCTTCAAACTCTTTGTATCTACTTCCTTCAGCTTCCCAAACTGTTGGGAGCCAATCCTAGCAGAAAGCAGCTATCATCTTTGCAGCCGTCTTAGACCATATACCCTGACAAGAAACTTGTTTTCAACAGCCTACAACAGCTGAGCACACTCTGATAAACATCATGCTTTTCTCATATATCTTGTTTTGTTGTTTAGTGACCCTAGCTGCAAGTCGGACTTGGTAAAGTGTCTTCAGCTGTAGTCTCCTGCTTGTGCTTATATATACCCATGATTTACTTTTAGTAAATGAGACTTGACCAGACTCTCTGTCTTGTCTCCATTCTTTGTGTCTCTTTCCCCACTCTCTCTCTTGCTAGACTCTGACCCGAAGACCAGAGCAGCAGCTCGGGCTGGGACACCAAACCACTTTCAATTTGATAAATACAAACACTCTTCTTTAGAAAGCAATAGATGAAAATTTTCAAATGTTAATTATAATATGTTATATCTGGAGAAGCTTTTACAGTTTATAAAGTCTTTTAACAAAAGTATCTCATTAATCTTTATAAATTTTGATTTAGTGCACAGGTATTACCATCAGCACATAACAAATAAGGACTCTTCTGTGATGATACATCCTTGGTTACCTCACTGCAAATTTGTTAGGCTTTCTAGGCAACCACAAAGGCCTTGTTGTATTAACTTCAAACACTGACTCATAAACCCACTTTCTCTTCTCCTACCATGAACTATTTTTTCCCTTTATCAACTTACCTTTTACTACAGCAATTCTGAATTTGTCAGATTCATATTCCACCTGCTTAAGATGGCCCGTGCAGTGGTAGGTGCCACTGTCATTAAGTGTGGCATTTCTAATGGAGATGTTGGGGCTCTGATAAGAGTACTTGAAAGCATGGTTGTTCTTGTAATAGATCACCTTTCGGACATTCCAATTCTTCCAGCCATGGCATCTGATGTCAAAGGATCCATTGGCTAAGACCACGTCAGCAGATGTCTGAAGGAGTAGCCACTCTGAAGAACATTCAGTACATTAGTGTTGTTTATTTAATAATGGATAAGAAATGGAGCAGGGGAAGTGGAGCAGACAGACAGATCCACAGACAGATGAAAGGGGGTCATCCATGAATGACCATTAACTAATTTCTTTGCTTATAAGATCAATTAAACATGAAAATGAATGGAAATCTAAAATAGATGGGGGTTAGGAAGTGGGGAACAGCTCCAGAACAAGATGGAGACCTGGGATAAGGGAGGTTCCCAAGAATCAATGAAGGTGATCTTAGCTGTGACTCACTACACTGGGGATATGGAACCTGAAGAGGCTACCTCCTGTAGCCAGACAGAAATCCCAGTGGAGCAATAGAGACATCAACCCACCCACAAAACTTTCAGCCCCAAATTTATATTATCTACAAGAAATACAGGCACAGAGACTAAGGGAATGCCCAGCCAATAACCTGCCCAGCTTGACAGCCATCCCATGGGCAAGCACCAATCCCTAACATTATTAATGATACTCTGTTATGCTGGCAGACAGAAACAAGTTATCCTTTGAGAGGTTCCACCCAGCAGCTCACTCAGACAGATGCTAATTCTCTCAGGCAAACAGTAGACTGAGCTTCGGGACTCTTGTGGAAAAGTAGTAGGAAGAATTATAGGTCCTAAAGGGGATAAGGACTCCACAGGAAGACAAACAGAGTCAACTAACTTGGACCCTTGAGGCTCTCAGAGTCTGAACCACCAACCAAAGAACATACATGGGCTGGGCCTAGGCCTTCCTGCACATATGTAGCAAATGTGCATCTTGGTCTCCAAGTGGGTCTTGAACAACTGGAGTGGGGACCTTTCCAAAAGCTGTTGCCTGTGAGTAGGATATGTTCTTCTAGCTGGGCTGCCTTGTCTGCCCTCATTGGGAAAGGAAGTACCTAGCCTTGCAGAGACTTGAAGTGCCAGGATTGGTGGTTGCCCAGGGAGGTCCTCACCCCCTCAGAGGAGAAGGAGAATGGAGGATAGGAGGATTGTAGGAGGGGGTGACTGGGAGGGGGCAATGAGGGGGATATAAAGTGAGTGAGTAAAAGAAAATTAATTTAATTTTAGAAAAGAATAAAGACGAAATAATATGTATAACCTGAAACCCACACCAGTGAATCCTTTATCCCTCTGACAAGTCAGTCTGGAGCCATAAAGTATCTTCTTTTGCATTTCTGGGCCTCTATGTGGAAACCCAAAGGCAAGAATTTCCTTCAAATCTATTCTAGCTACCTAGCTAAGAGAGCGCAGACAGACACACTCCAAAAGGTTTGAACAATGAAGAAATGTTTTTGCTCTTTCTTCCAAGAGGCTTCTCAGTTCTGTTGTTAATTCTAAGTTAGCCAAAACACCTTCTTAAAATATGTACACCAAGTTTAATTATTTGTTCAATTTTTATTTATTGTCATTTTTGCTGTATAGATCTATGAAGATACAGGAATGTATCTGCTTCTGTTTTTCAGTAGTACCTAACATAGTGTTGAGAAGTTTGTAGGCACTCAGTGATTAATTGTCAATAATGATTCTGTAAATTATAAGAATCATATTCTATGGTTAATGTCATTCTAAAGAATTGTAAAACATTCTTCACAAATGGAGAGTTTTGATTGAGAACATGTCTAACATATGCAAGCATATTGTATCTTCTACCAGGAAATGGAAGACTGTTATTCATGGTTTAGTTTGTATTTGGAATTTTATAAGTGTTAAAACATTTTTTCAACCAAAGAAAATATAACCTATGACTTTTCCTTTCAAAAGATAGTTTGCTCATTCAATATTTACTGATACCTAGATATGTTGTTTCAACACAAAAATGAGTAATAAACTATTTCTTGAATTAAAATAAACAGTAGAATTGGTTTTAGTAATAGTAAAATGCATGAAGAATTAACAGAAGTGTCGTTCATGGCTCATAGATTATTCAGAGCATTACTCAAACATTATGATGCATGTATACATACACAGCTTTTTATGGTATTCATATGCCTATAATGTCATCTGATCACAAAATTCATCTATACCTAGGTAAAATAGATTTTAAAAAACAGGACACATGAATAATATTTATGGCAGACTAGATTATTAAAAGAGGATTAAAGAACCATGCAAAAGAAAACATGAGATGTCTTGAGTGGTGTGCTCCTAGAATAACATACATTATTGCCATCTTCTAGTGCATTAGTTCTTAGTGCACTAGGTTACAACTCCTTTGTGGGGTTCCAACAACAATTTCACATGTGTTGCCTAAGACCATAGGAAAACACAGATATTCATGAATTATAACAATAGCAAACTTACAGTTATTAATTAGCAACAAAAATAATTTTATGGCTAGGTGTCACCATAACACGAGTAACTATATTACAGGATTGCAGCATTAGGAAGGTAGAGTACTGTTGTTCTAGTGGGTCACTCTTCACGTGAGAGATATATTTTCCCATATCCCTGGAACGTACCTTGTATCACATTCAAGTACACCGGTTTACTCTTATAAAATCCTTGGTTCTGACATATGTATTTTCCACTGTCTTGAATGGTGGCACTCACAATGACCAAATGTGTAGATGTCACCTTAGAGATGATACCATTGTGGATCCATTTAGTAGAGTTCATTTGAAGGGAATTGTTCCCATTGCATGAAAGGGTCACTTTCTCTCCTGTAAATATTCTAATCCATGGTGGGTCCAAGGACACTACAGATTTCTGAGTAGCTTAAAGGTAAAATTGTGAAACAATTTTAATTCATTGAGAATTATTCAGTCTTAAAACTATAAACATGTCAATAGTCAATCAATGGTCCATCTTGTCAATAACAATCCTCTGCTCTGATGTCTGGGAGAAGCAATAAAGGATGATGTAAACAATGTTGTGGTCTCAGGGAGCAAACAACCCAGGGATCAAAGTAGGGCACGAACACAAGAATTTTGGAGACAATTGAAGTAATCTATCTATGATGTGAATACCTACTCTAATTCTCTGAACTTCAGTATCAGTCTCCAAAAATTATGATCATCTTTTGGATCATTTCTTAGGATAATGGATGCTATATAATTAAGGTTTGCTAAATAATTATTGAATGGCTTAATATAGAAATAATGGATAAATGTTAAAGCCTTGGTTTCATTAATACATGTCAGGAGCAACCGTCAATCATTTCAGATTATATAGCAAGTATTGTATACATTTTCGTATACAATATTTGTAAATAAATAACTTTCATGATAATAAAAATATATAATAGACTTGATAAACTATGAGCTGTAGATTTTTATAACTATTTAATTATGAATCTATACAGTGAAAAATGTTTGCAATTTTGAAAGGCCATGAAAAGTACCAAGAGGTACAGCTTTGAAAGGATTCCAGGAACTAGGAAATGTGGGGACAATTTAAACAGTGGCTAAAAAAGCAGCTTGTGGTGATGACAAAGGGGTGATATAGTCAAGGAAAATATTTAGACCCAAGAGACTTAGGATAGAGTCCAGCTTTTGTCAGTGGTGAAACCTCCAGTAAGTGATATAAACTGTTACAGGATTCTTAATTACAAAATAGCAATAACAATAGTGAAGGTTTGATGAATGTCTGTGAAAGGTCTAGACAGAAGATATGCCAAAGAACACCAGTGCAGACATGGCTGTTGGCTTAAGCAGAAGAGACAACTTCAGAGGGGAAATGGTATATGGGAGGTTTTGGGACAGGCAATAAAAAGATGGTGGTGAGGTGGATTTGGAAAACAGACTTTCCAGGAAGAAGAATCGGAGCTCTAAGAAAACACAATGGGATAAAAATAAACCCAAAGAGAGAGCAATGTCAGATACACTGAAGGAAAAAGGACAAAGGACTCACCTGTTAGCATGACACCCAGAGCTGCAAAATAAATAAGGGGTAAGTTAGCGTCTGTCCCCTGTGTTCCAGATGCCAGAGCTCTGGAATCAGTATGGGATTGAGACCCACATCCATGAAATGTTAGTGATTAATGTGGAACAGGAGCTGCACACTTTCCTCTATTCTCCTCCATTGGTTTCTGTCTTGTGCTCTAGTAGATGCCAGAGGATTGGAAAGATCTAAGCTAGTAGCCTGGCTTCCCACTGACATGGTGCTCAGCCCATTTTCTTCTGCTTCTTTCTACTACAGACTGCCTGAAAAACACCCCATGGTTTGTGTATGTGCTGCAAAGTAAAAAAACCAAACCAAAACAAAACAAAACCATCAATGCCCCCACCATGACACTCTCCAGATGCATTTTGGTCCCTTGAGGCAGAGAATAACATAAGCCTGTACTTACAGGTGAACAGTAGTGCTAGGCATAGTTGGGCAGACCCTCCAGTGGCCATCACTCCTGTACCTTCAGGTGCTAACTGCGCCAGAGAGCTATGGCTTTGAAAATAGGCTTGAAACCACAAAGGAGAAGGAAATGTCTTCTGCTTCGTATCTGATTAACTCATCAGCTATGCCTGGGCTTGGCTTTCTCCAGAGATAATAATAGGGTTGTGCAATTTTATAGTCACCCATTTCCTCCTATTGTACCTTCAACTGACACCTAGAATCTGGTAGACAGTGACTAAAGATCTAAGCAGAGTCATATGGATTTCTTAAGGTGACATTCAATGCACAAGTATTTAATTTGCAACTTAAAAACACAAGCCTATAGAGGACTATAGAATGATAAGTGCCAGACTCTGTGTTAAACATAACAGATACTGTACATACAAAACAGTCTCATATATTAGATATTACTGTCCAGTTTAATTAGATTTTATTATAATCTATGCTTTATTAATAGAAAAATAGATCTTAGAAAAGTTAAGTAAACTGTATTATGATGCCACCTATTAAAAGGCTAATTTATGCTTTAGACATGTAAATATATAAACTTGAAGTGAATCTCTTCATCACTATGAGGCTCTTTTTAAGAGCACTCCATAACCTGGAGAACAATAAATGAAATGGTTTGAGGATCCTCTAAGTTACCATCCCTCTCCTACTTGGTCTCCTGCTCATCTGCTTAGTTTGTAAGTCTCCATGTGATTCACTATGATCTACAAAATGATGGGTACTTTGAAGATAGTCTTAGAGGCTCTTCCTCCACTGGGTTCTTTTTTTTGTATTGTTTTGGTTTGGTTTTGGTTTTGGTTTTTATTGGATATTTTATTTACATTTCAGATATCCCCTTTCCCCATTTCCCACCTACCCAGAAACCCCCTATCACATCTCCCCTCCTCCTGCTTCTATGAGGATGGTCCCCTACCCATCCACGAACTCCCACATCACCACCCTCGAATTCCCCCACAATGGGGCATCCAGCATTCATGGGACCAAGGACCTCCTCTCCCACATATGCCCCACAAGGCCATCCTCCCCTACATATACAGCTGGGGCCATGGCTCCCTCCCTGTGTGCTCCCAGGCTGGTGGTTTAGACCCTGGGAGCTCCAGTTGCTCTCCCCATGGGGCTGCAAACACTTTCAGATCCTTCAGTCTTCCCTCAAACTCCTCCATTGAGAAGCCCATGATCAGTTCAATGGTTATCTGTGAGCATCCACTTCTGTATATGTCAGGCTCTGGCAGACCTCTAAGGACACAGCTATATCAGGCTCCTATCACCATGAACTTCTTGGCATCCACATCAGCATCTACCTTTGCTGACTGCACATGGGATGGATACCCAGGTGGAATAGTCTCCAGAGGGCCCCTCCTTCAGTTTCTGTCCCACACTTTGTTTCCATATTTATTCCCATGAGTATTTTGCTACTCCTTCTAAGAAGAACTGAAGCACCCACACTATGGTCTTCTTTCTTCATGACCTTGATGTAGTCTGTGAGTTGCAACTCGGATATGGCAAGCTTTTAGGATAATATCCACTTTTCATCGAGTGAACACTATGCGTATTCTTTAGTGATTGGGTTACCTCACTAGGGTGATATTTTCTAGTTCCATCCATTTGAATTCATGAAGAACTTCATGAATTCATTGTTTTTAATAGCTGAGTAAATTGTGTAAATGTACCACATTTTCTGCATCCATTCCTCTGTTAAAAGACATCTGAGTTCTTTCCAGCTTCTGGCTACTATAAATAAGGCTGCTATGAACATAGTGGAGCATATGTCCTTGTTATATGTTGGAGCACCTTCTGGGTATATGCCCAGGGGTGGTATAGCTGGGTCCTCAGGTAATGCTATGTCCAATTTTCTGAGGAAACACCAGATTGATTTCCAGAGTGGTTGTACCAGCTTGAAATCCCACCAAAAATGGAGGAGTGTTCCTCTTTCTCCACATCCTCGCCAGCATCTCCTATCATGTGAGTTTTCGATCTCAGCCATTCTGACTGGTGTGAGGTGAAATCTCAGGGTTGTTTTGACTTGCAATTCTCTAATGACTAAGGATGTTGATCATTTCTTTAGGTGCTTCTCAGCCATTCGAGTTTCCTCAGTTGAGAATTTTTTGTTTAGCTCTGTATCCCATTTTTAATAGGGTTATTTGGTTGTCTGGAGTGTAATTTCTTGAGTTCTTTGTAGATATTGGATATTAGTCCTCTATCGGATGTGGGATTGGTAAACATCTTTTTCCAGTATGTTGGTTGCCATTTTGTCCTATTGACAGTGCCCTTTGCCTTACAGAAGTTTTGCAATTTATGAAATCCCATTTGTCAATTCTTGATCTTAGAGCATAAGCCATTGGTGTTCTGTTCAGGAACTTTTCTCCTGTGCCCAAGTATTTGAGGTTCTTCCCCACCTTCTCTTCTTTTAGTTTCTGTGTATCTGGTTTTATGTGAAGGTCCTTTATCTACTTGTACTTGAGCTTTGTACAAGGAGATAAGAATGGATCAATTTGCATTCTTTCACATGGTGACCTCCAGTTGAACCAGCACCATTTGTTGAAAATGCTGTCCTTTTTCCACTGGATGGTTTTAGCTCCTTTGTCAAAGATCAAGTGACTATAGGTGTGTGAGTTCATTTCTGGGTCATAAATTCTATTCCATTGATCTTCCTGCCTGTCTCTGTACCAATAACATTCAGTTTTTATCACTATTGCTCTGTAGTACAGCTTGAGATCAGGGATGGTGGTTCCTCCAGAAGTTCTTTTGTTGTTGAGAATAGTTCTTGTGGCCTTGGTTTTTTGTTATTCCAAATGAATTTGCAAATTGCTCTTTCTATCACTATGAAGAAGTGAGTTGGAATTTTAATGGAGATTGCATTGAATCTGTAGATTGCTTTGGCAAGATGGCCATTTTCACTATATTGATCCTGCCAATCCATGAGCATGGGAGATCTTTCCATCTTCTGAGATCTTCTACAATTTCTTTATTCAGAGACTCGAAAGTCTTGTCATACAGATTTTTCACTTGCTTGGTTAGATTCACACCAAGGTATTTTATATTATTTGTGACTATTGTGAAGAGTGTCATTTCCTTAATTTCTTTCACAGCCTGTTTATCCTTTGAGTAAAGGAAGGCTACTGATTTATTTGAGTTGATTTTTATATCCAGCCACTTTGCTGAAGTTGTTTATCAGGTTTAGGAGTTCTCTGGTGGAAGTTTTGGGGTCACTTAGGTATATTATCATATCATCTGCAAATAGTGATATTTTGACTTTTTCCTTTCCTATTTGTTGTGTCCCTTTAATTTCCTTTTGTTGTCTAATTGCTTTGGCTAGGACTTCCAGTACTATATTGAATAGGTAGGGAGAGAGTGGGCAACTTGTCTGGTCTCTGAATTTAGTGGGATTGCTTCAAGTTTCTCTCCATTTCGTTTGATGTTGGCTTCTGGCTTCCTGTGTATTGCTTTTATTATGTTTAGGTATGGTCCTTGAATCCTGATATTTCCAAGACTTTTACCATGAAGAGATGTCTAAAGCATTTTCTCAAATGCTTTCTCAACATCTAGTGAGATGATCATGTGGCTTTTTCTTTGAGTTTTTTTTTTTATATATATATAGTGGATTACTTTGATGGATTTCTGAATATTGTACCATTTCTGTATCCCTGGAATAAAGCATACTTGATCATAATAGATGATTGTTTTGATGTTTTCTTGGATTTGGTTTGTGAGAATTTTATTCAGTATTTTTGCATAGATATTTGTAAGGTAGATTGGTCTGAAATTTTCTTTCCTCATTGTGTCATTGGGTGGTTTAGGTATCACCATAATTGTGGCTTCATAGAACAAATTGGGTAGTGTTCTTTCTGTTCCTATTTTGTGGAATAGTTTGAAGAGAATTGGTATTAGGTCTTCCTTGAATGTTTGATAGAATTCTGCTCTAAAACCATCCGATCTTGGGCTTTTTTTTTTTTTTTTTTTTTTTTGGTGAGGAGACTTTTAATGACTGCTGCTATTTCTTTAGGGGTTATGGGACTGTTTAGATGGGTTATCTGTTCCTGATTCAACTTTGGTACCTGGTATCTGTCTAGAAAATTGTCCATTTCATCTGGATTTTCCAGTTTTGTTGAGTATAGTTTTTTGCAGTTGGATCTGATGATTTTTTTGAATTTTCTCATTTTGGTTGTTATGTCTCCCTTTTCAGGTCTGATTATATTAATTTGGATACTGACTCTGTGCCCTCTGGTTAATCTGGCTAAGAGTTTATCTATCTTGTTGATTTCCTCAAAGAATCAGCTCCTGGTTTTGTTGATACTTTGTATAGTTGTTTTTGTTTCTACTTTGTTGATTTCAGCCCTGAGTTTGATTATTTCCTGCCTTCTACTCCTCTTGGGTGCATTTGCTTCTTTTTGTTCTAGAGCTTTCAGCTGTGCTGTCAAGTTGTAAGTGTGTGCTCTCTCCAGCTTCTTTTTTGTAGGCACTTAGAGCTATGAGTTTTCCTCTTAGCACTGCTTTCATTGTGTCCCATAAGTTTTGGTATGAAGAGCCTCCATTTTCATTAAATTCTAAAAAGTCTTTAATTTCTTTCTTTATTTCTTTCTTAACCAAGTCATCATTGAGTAGAGCATTGTTCAGTTTCCATGTGTATGTGGACTTTCATTGTTTTTGTTATTATTAAAGACCAGCCTTAATCTGTAGTGATCTGGTAGGATGCAAGAGATTATTTCAATCCTTTTGTATCTGTTGAGGCCTGTTTTGTGACCAATTATATGGTCTATTTTGGAGAAGGTACCATGAGGTGCTGAGAAAAAGATATATTCTTTTGTTTTAGGACAAAATGTTCTATAGATATCTGTTAAATCCATTTGGTTCATAACTTCTGTTAAATTTACTCTGTCTTTGTTTAGTTTCTGTTTCCATGATCTGTCCATTGCTGAGAGTGGGGTGTTGAAATCCTCTACTATTATTTTGTGAGGTGCAATGTGTGCTTTGAACTTTAGTAAAGTTTCTTTTATGAGTTGCATTTGGAGCCTAGATATTCAGAATTGAGAGTTTATCTTGGTAG